AATGCCAGAGTGAAATGCAGAGGCTGAGACACAGCGCATGTTCCTTCTTGCCAACTCTGCTACATGAGCAAGTCGGACAGCTGGATAAAGGAATACCATAACACTGCTATTTTCTCTGTGTTACTTTAGTCCTCTGCTCCTCTGCTCTCTTTTCCATCAGCTCCTCACTTTGAAGCTTTGCTTTTCCACAACTTTTCTTTCCTTGATGTAACTCTCAATTCTTACTTCTTCCAGCACGAGTCTTCTGTACACCTTCCTGGGGAATCTGTTAACCTGATCACCAATTAATGTTGAAGTATTATAATTTGTGCTTCAGAGAAGACAGTGCAATTAGAAGCAACAGGAGTGAGAACATCACAGCCATTTCTGGCTGACTGCAAACTCTGGCAAACATCAATTTACATTAAGTACAGATTTCACAATCAGGTCTGGAAACCCTACTGTAAATAAATAATTCCGTAAGTACTAATAAAGTCCATACATCTATACTCATCTAACAGTTATAAAATTTTCCTGCAATTAACTGTACTTTTTTTTTTTTTAAGCCTCTCTGCTATGACATCCGAGGTAGGTGCACTGCAACCTTCCCTCAGCTGGGCATTTACAGTGTCTGTTTCCTCTAAGCTGCTTTTTTTCCCCACATGCTTGTTTGAACTTAAGTACCTCTGAGACCTCTTCACCCTTGTCAAATGTGGCTGAAACGGGCAAAAGCGTATTGATGACAGGACCCTCAGACAGGAGACAGGCAGGAAAAGGACAACAGCCAGCCATTCAGCATGGTTCCGCAAGGCTTACTCCTTTCCAAAGCAAGAATTCGGACTGCAAGATGCGCACAGACTTCTCATGCAGAACACCCTGTTACATCGTACAATCCACATCCAGCTACAAACTATGTATTTGATGTCAGTGTTGGGGGGCTGAATCAATCACTGAAAACATTCAGTGATGCTGACCCTGTATATAAGGTGCTAAACTGGCAGACAGAGAAGGGAACAGGTAGACAAATACCTGAAACATGAAGAAAGGATTTTTCCTATCTAAGGCTACAGCTTCTAGATTAGCATAGTTTTTAAATGTCATTAAATTTTTTCAGGTTGTGCTAACATAATCAACCAGTTTCTAGAAGAAACATTGAAAAACAAGTACTGCTACCATTACGACTTCCTCCTGTATGTCTGAAACTGACATCGTTGTCGCTTTTAAGCTACAAAGATAATTTCTATTTTCTCTTTACTTCAGCAACTAGTAAGACTTGATACCTTTCCACTGCTGGGTTCTAGACAACAGCGCAAAAGTCAGTAGTACTAGATACAATCTCTATTTTATGGTGAGTATAGCTTGGGGGACATCTTCATTGCAGTTAGCACGGGTTACTTTACCACTTCCCAGCCGTGCATAAAGACCCCATATAATTCACTGAGGTAAGACTTTGACTGCAGTTTAATGCATGGGTGAGGGTAAAAGACCAAGTTCTACTTTTATGGCAAAAGACATTAAAAAAAAGCCAAAAAAACAACAAAAAAACCACACACATTTAATAAACCTCCTCCATTTTGCAACAAGAACAGGTATTTTCCAGTGCTTCTCCACAATCTCCAGCCACGTAATCAAGACTTACTACAGCACAAGGAACCACGGGAGCGGTGATGTAGAGCAAAGAAGTCCAAGGAAGCTCACGGGGATACAACACCAGGAGAGTACTACAGGAAGAGCTCTGCCATCACTGGTATGAACAGTGGAGTCTCGATCAATGAACTAGTGAAGCATACAGAAGAACCAACCCTTTGTAGACAGAATGCGCTCTTGCAAGATCATCTCAAAAGGCGCCGTGGGTAACAAACTAAAAATACCAGATATCGCTCTTCACTATACCCACGCAACCCACCAGGACTGTAAAACATAATATCTTGCTTTCTAACATTCAGAGCTTGAACAACAAGGTAAAGATGCACAAAATATAAGTGAGTCAGCAGGGAGTGAAACTTGAATTTGGATACAAAAAAGGAAGTCATGAAATGCAGGACTGCAATGGGAGAGCTTCTTCAACATCATTCCAGACTTCTCTGTTATGGATTGTAAGTGTATGTGCATGTTAACGTTTGTGCAGGCCCAAACTGCCTCTTGAGAAAAATTGCCTGTTACTGGTTTTGTACTAACCAAACACAAGAACAGAAGCAACAGCCTGGGAGTTCTTGTTGCAAGAGGTATGGGGAAAGGCAAGAAAAACTTGTAAGAATTTTTAGGAAGTTGCCTGGCCGTTTATCAAACAGTGGGTTGACACAAAGAAGAATTGCCAGGAAAAAAAAAAAAAAAAAACCCAACACCAGTATTACTTAGCAATTATATTCCTTTTTGGTTTTGCAGAATATATGCTTAAACATGAGTATATGACTCTTGTTAAAATTAAAAAGATCTGCCTGGCCATAACCACACCATTCTAAACAACTCCACGGGAAATGCCAAGTGCTTCTTCACACTATCTTTACTGAAATATTTTTAAGCACAATCTTACATTATTTATTAAAAGCATGGAAAAAACTTTTACAGCAGGTATCCTATGCTAGCTGTCCCATCTCACCATACTATTAAAGCTCACGCATCAGAAAGGCACAGGAAAAATCTTTTGCCCGGAGTTTATCCACCTCAGTGCACACAATTCTGACTGGACAGATAATACCTAATTGCCACCAGAATTTCAGCTTCATGGATATGGACACTTTAGTCAATGATAAGAGGATTTTTAGTTGAAAAAACTGGTTTGGGATTGACTTAAATGTCAATGACATAATGTCATTTCTAATAACCATACGTACAGAATAAACTTAAACTAGTTTCTTGGCCAGTCCAGACCTACAACTTCTATGCTGTCCAGAAGCAGAAAAGCAATGTCCCATACTGGGCCTAAATCAAGAGGCCAGCACTGAATTTATGTTGACATAAAGGCTAGTGTACAACGGTGGGTGAAAACATGTTAGCTAGAATTGCAATAAAATGAGACCATCCTAGCTCAAGGACCAGTCACATTGGCTCCCCAACAGTCTAACCTAAAATCTAACTACTTCGGAGAAGGAAAACTCCTGAAGTACGTGGTATATGTCCTACAACATTTGGCCATATAAAGATCTTGGCGTACAGCTCATGAATTCAACAAGTCAGACTCTCTGAGGCCAAATGAAAAGCTGTGACCTCCCAGATCATGAAAAGCGTTACACCAGCTAATCAACAAGCACCTGAGCAATCTCACCCTGTGGGCTTACAGGCGTTCATTCAGAATTCTCATGGGTTGCCTCTGAAATGTCTGTTTGCGATGTTAAAGCCTCTTTGTGGCAAGACTTATGAAAGCCATCAATCAGTCCTCAATAATATGAAATGCAAGCATTTTCCACTGTTTGGCATTATGATCTGTTATAATCCCCATTCAGCAAATTAACAAACTAGATGACAGAGTACATTTTTCCCCTTAACCATCTCTTCCCTTCCCCTGCAGAAACCGATTTGGGAACAAGAACTTTCATTTGACCACGGAACAGGTAGAAAAGAGCACAAACGCAAGATCTTCAGCTGTGAACCATTGGCACGTCTCTTCCACGACAAGCAGTGACTTCTACTGACTAAGGGATATTTCCTTCCTTAAATCCAGCATTCCTCCGTCGGCGAATCCACTGAGCTCCCCAAGAGAGCCTTATTGCGTCTGGGTATCTGCTTACAGCTCTTATTTATCAAGAGAGAGAGCCATGAAAAAGCAATCCCGGGAAGGCGCCTCCTGCCAGGACCCGGATCGATGCAAAGGTGGCAGGTTACACGCCAACGCGTGGAGCGTGCTTGGCGGAGCAGATCACGCGGGATTGCCAACACTTTTCCGGGTAACCCGGGGAGCCCCCGCCTGCTCACCGGCAAGGCGATTACAGCCCGGCCACGGGAGTGAAGTACTCGGTGAGCTGGGGACAGTTACCGGGCGGATGGGGAAGGCGGCGGGGGCTTCCAGAAACCCTGCCCGACAAAAAGTACTCGCAGCGAGCAAGCCCCAACTCCCGGCGAGGTCCCGCAGCTCTCCCTCCCGGCGGCCGGCACACCTCGGGGGGTAGCTGTGCTCGCTAACCCCGCACTTCCACCCGCCGTCAGG